GTATTTTAAAGTAGACACCGAGTTTTTGCAAAGGTACATTGAATAAATCAGCCGCTTAAGGTTTAACCCTAAAAGAGCCGGGTTATCTCACACCCAGGGTAGATTCCGCCCCTCCCCCAAAATCGGTTGTGCCTTGCTCCCTTTTTTTGAAACTCACTATACGTGTAAAGACACCTTTCATCATTATAAATTTGAAGTCTGACGTATTATTTTGTTGTTCAAGGCTATTTGTGTGCCATCCTACGTGCATTGAGCGCCGCCGTGGGAAAAGTACACATTTTTGGCTGAACTATCTAAAAAAAAAAAAAAACGCGCGCTTCGGAAAAACATACGTTACGTTCGATTTTCGCAAAATTGGTGTCAAAAAGACCCCAAGGAGTTACTCTAAACGTTTGAAGGCATTACGTCAAAACATAGTGCACTGCTGCGATATCGGGAAAGTTTCTGGGGGGCAGAATTCGCCCGTCTGTTTTAGGGTTAGGGTTTTTTGCGCTTGCGTCGTTTTCCCACGTTTTTGGTATCTCGGCCACCACTACGCATGTTCTGGCTGTGATAATTCGACGCTGTGTTGGAACTCATTCATTTTGTATACCCAGCAAGAAATGAGACCGAGGGGTACCCCCCCAACATGTCCAATCCCTATACACATTCCAGACTATTGTTACTTAACACATCCCCCAAGATGTCCGAAAGGAATTCGCCAGATTCCTGCGAGACAATGACCAACACAAAGCAGGGGGGGTTCTCTCCGTCTCATACCTTGCTGCATATGTCATTTTGCATGAAGTGCCCAAGTGCAACCCTCTTTTGTCTACTCAATCAAACAGTCCAGTGAAAACACAATCCCTTTGGATGAGATTTGGCTCACTGGTTGGTTTGAAACTTTGAATTCAACTGTTCAATTGAAACAGGTGTATGTGCCAAATGCAGTCTTCTTTTCCGTAAATTGTTGTCCTCAGACAAAAGCTGATAACACTATTTTTTTTTTAATTTCAGGGAAAGAAATACAAATCGCAGGAAGAGGAAAAGACTGAACAGATTACATAAATGGATATGCTTGACGTATGCGTTAAATCGTTCAATGTCTATACTGGCCATGTGTACCTTTTGGACTAAAGTACCACCGTATTAAGCAATACTTGATGATAAATGTCTATAAATATTTTGTGGTTGGCATTTTTTTTGGAATCCAGTTAAAAGAAAACTGGATTGCATTTGTTGAATTTGAAATGCATTTTCACCTAGGTTGTTAGTTTTTGATTTTTCTTTTCAGTTTTAATTTAATTTAATTTTCTTTCCTGCATGAATAAGAAATTTATTTGCCGGAAGTGTTTTCTCTTGCCAGCTTTCACAGGCCAAGTTGAGTTAAAGAAATACTGAAACAGATACTGAAATCAAAATGGAAAAACTCCCTGGGACTAGGGTATTTTTCAAATTCAAATTACATAGGAAAACCCCACCTTGAATTAGTATTACTGAAAATCGTATATCTAACAAATACATACAAACGTACAGGATTTCATTTGCCCAGAGTCTTTCGTTTCTTTTCCTCGTTCAAGTAACACCCCCTACAGTGTACACATTTAAATTTATGATATAATGTAAAAGTTTGGAGGTAATGAAGTTCATTTGTTTTTTTGTGTTTTAGTTCTTTTTTATCTTTCTCTCATAGACATAATTTCGTAGACAAAGCATAGCCATGTAGAAAAGATATTAATTGTGATATTAAGATAGACAGTGAATTTTGGAAGAATGTTTCATAGGGCTGATCTATATTCTGAAGGTACGTTGGAAAATTCGGGGGAATTTTTAAGACATCAGGTGGTCACCATAATAGGAGTGAATTTCAGTGTTACATTTTGTCAATGATTTGTTTGAATCTTTGTGTGTGTGTGTGAATTTTATTTCTTTACTTTTGTGTACATTGCCGATCATCGAGAGATTCATATGAGCTTCAATCCAAGTTCAAAATGTACACGTGTTCAGGAAAAAGTAAACTTGAGCCTTTGCTCAAGATCTGACATCTTAGCAATATCGATATTATGTTGGAATAAATAGAACTTATAACTAAAAAAATTGTACTACAATGAATTTTTGCCTTCCAAGCTGTTAGAAAATTTGTTCACCAATTTCTGTGGCGTTTATAAGTATAATCCTTGAGTTATTTATTAACATTCATTTGAATTACATGTTAAACTTTAGATATTTTTCTTTTGTGTCATATTATAGAACTAGATTAAGGTTAGAGCCTTAAGGCTAGACACAATTTACGAATGTTATGAGGTTTATTGGTATAAGTCAATCAATTAGTAATAATTGTAAGTGGTAATTAATGAACTGAAAATTGTGTCGCTTGTTGAGCGTCCTCTGATAAAAATATTGAGGATTACATTACATTTCATAAAGTATGAAAGTGCTTTCTAAATTGTTTGTGTGTTGTTAAATACGGAGATCGGTTTATTTGGGAATACAGCCAAATGCTGTCATATTCTATTATCCGGAAGTACTTGAGATTACATAATTGTATGTGCAAACATTTCGAGGGGGTAATATGTATTTTTTCCTATCAATATGACATCAGACCAAATCGTCTTTTACATTGTAACCTCATTCCTGCTATAGGTATCGGATTTGGAAAAGTACTCGATCGAGGACGGAAATACTTTGACGTATTGCCCATCTAGTTGGTATATTCTGTATCGTCGATGCCATCTTTCCTGGAGTTGCAACACTTTAAAAGGGCAGCGTTTTCTGAATTTATTCACCGACGTGGGCAGACCTATCCCCTAGGTCCAGTCGATACTGTGATTGTTTTATTTCAAACTTGCTAATCATAGAAGACATTCATGCGTATATCTGTGAGGATTCATTTGAGACCATGACTTAGACAGAGCTCTGATTTTACGAGCAGACCCCCTTAGGAGCTTCAAATAATGATCACTAATGGTCAGATATAAAACCCCAATACGTGAGTGCCTTCTGGGATCGGTAGTCCAGGCTTAGTGTATGAGAGTTTTTGGGTAGATGTATAAATAACCCTGGTAGGCTTAGTGATAACTTGTGTTAATTGCTTATACATGTCATTAACCCACTCATTTTTTTCCATTCCCAATCATTAGCTTGAAATGACCAAACCAGATGATTTCCCCGCGTGTTATTGAGAGAACACTGCAGTGTCTTCCATAACGTAATCAAGCACAGCTTCAAGTTCGTCAAACTCGAAAAGCCGCATCTCAGCCAACTCGTTATAAAAAAGATTGGGCATTGAGGAGTAAAAAATTGATGCCTTTGATTTTCTTTATGTCCGAGGCTGTCACAGGAGATTCACCAGCTTAGGTGAGCATTAGACAAATGCCATTTCCATTTCTAACAGAGTCGTTACAATGCAATATCCACCAAGTGTCTAGGCCGTTTTCTGATTGTAGCAATGGGGATGGGCGGTTGCCAATTATCACAGGATTTTACAATTTCGTCCGCGATGCCCTGCCCGTTGCTTCTAGACCTCAAAATGTCAAGAGCTTTCAAGCTGTTAAGGACTTCAGGTGTTATCCGATGAGACAATGTGAGTCTATGCTGACTGTTTAATGAGAAGTCTGCAAAGGATCGGCCTTGGACGTGCACGGGAAGCCTCCCCATTCGATGGTTGTGCCTGCCCGGGAGACCGGTGGGCCTGCTCGATCTCAATAGTGTCACCACTGTCAAGCCTCATGTGGTTTGTCAGCAGGTCAAAGATGAACACCTCACAGAGCTTGTTTCCTTCTGATCCCAGGAACTCCATGTATGACAGTGTTATTTCTTCTATTGCGATTTTAGAGATCGTCTTGATCTTCCAGCCTGCTCGTGACTCTGGAGTGTGCGTCGTCCTTTTCGTTGTCCATCATACCTAGTGTCAGGTTAACATCATCTATATCCTTGCCTTGAATTAAGACCTGAGTTTTTGTGTAATTCAGTTTGACTTTAAGGTTGGTAACTCTTTTTTCTATGGCCTCCAGTGACTGCAAAATCTTTTCCAGTTGCTTAAGTATGTCTATGGTGGCGTCCTTGCATGAGCACTTGCAGCCATCTTGGGTCAAGTTCGGGCGGCCTGTTCTGGACACGGGTTTCTTGTTTTCGCGTTCGAACGGCGGGAACACGGCTCAAGGAAACTGTTCTCGGAACAGGATCGCACACCACCTCCTCGTCAGGGTTTTACAGGAACACACGAAAAAAACTCATGAGATTTTATTTTTGCACAGCTGCAAAAAGTAGAGAGATGGCTTCCAAAGCCATCATCGAAAATTATTCAGGTTTCTAAGCACCGTAACACACGAAGTTTTATTGTCATTTTACTTTAGACACACTTAGTGCTGGAGGTTTTAATTACAGGTTTTTAAGACTTCGCAATTCTACAGAACTTTTCTTTTCTGTTGCTTATATTTCAGCCTATCCACTTAGTTTACATTGACATGTTACGAAAATATTCAAGTGCAGAAGATCTTCTGATTAACGAAATATGTGGAAAAATATGCCAGCCCCCTACCGCAACCGTACTCGGGAAGACGCGGGTGAGTAGAAGCACAAAGAGATTTTCAAAATCAAAGGTTCCCCAAAACTGCTACGCGATATACTCGCTCGAACACACTACAGACGACGCTAGTTGGAAAGGGCTAATCTCACGCACAAATCCTGTGAAGTCACCACCGATGTAGCAATTAATTGTCACAAATAGGGCCTCATCCATATAAAATATTATAGGCTACACGTGGAAGTGTTGACTGTGAAGGGTATACAGGGACACTGTGGGATGTTTTGAGTACTGGAATTTGGTAATGGACGCCAATTCGATTGTGAGGAAGACCATCGTTAACATCCGACTCGGGCCCTTTATTTTTTCAGATACATCGGTAATAGTTACGAGGTAAGGGCAGGAAAGTTAAAAAAGCTACGAAAAAGGCCTCCGCTTCTTTTAGGTCAATTTCAGGCCTTTAATAATATCTAATTATACTCTGGGTAAAAATAAACATAACCTCTTCACTTAGAACTTATCAGCGAGGCTCATTTTCTATTCGTGTTCAAACCCTGAAACGGCATTCTTCAAAACCTTCCCGATAGGTGGATTTTAACTTCCTGTCAGATCATGGTTGTCCCTTACAAGATTGTGTTGGATAGCGCCATGCATATGTTTACCACGCCCAGTTTCAAATCAGTCGAGTAGCTTTTCCTTAATGTGTTATTGACAGTGCGCACATTTGCACGTGTTGGTCCTTGCACTGTCAAATTTCCATTTTGCACTGTGATTGAGGAGAAATGACGCACTGTGCCTGTATTCGAGTGTCCAAAATTTGACACGGAGGGACAATGTTTAACAAATTCCATAACTGATTCAAAATGACGCCAAGAAGGCTCGGTGTGACAACAAAGCGTTGTGATGAAATCGGGAAAAAAATGTACAAAGGAGATTTTAAGTCCGGCCCTTTAAGGGTTAAATAACACCACATTATATGACCGGTTATAACATACACCATTTATCTTTTTAATATCTATATATTTTATCATTATATTTTCACACAATATAAGGATACCACTGATAAATATAGTTTTACTCTAAAAAGATTAACATTCTAGGTTATATTGCATTATTACTCGATACATTCTACTTGCATAAATACACCTTTACTTTTATTAACATTCATAGCAGAAATGTTGTACTTTTTAATTCATTTAACGAAATGACGAAATGATATCGGTCAGAAAGAGAGAATACAATTTAATGAGGTGCATCTAAGAAAATTAATGATGTTTAATAAAAGATGTGGCTAACTTTACACAGTTTACACTGTTTTGCGATTATGGAGAACGTAGCCATAACCTGAACACAATAGTCAGCCACAAGCCAATTTGAACAACTCAGCTGGGAAGCGCCATGCCCATATTGACGTTAAGAGACGCAGACAGTGTCGCCAAAGAGTTTTCGATGACACGAAGTTATGGACAGTCGGCAAAGTTGGACCATGTTCAACCCTGCCCAATGTCTGCATCCAGTCTCCAAACAAGTTCCACATGTACAGTTGCGCTGGTAAGACAAGTGTACACGATGTCCTTCTCGGAATGAAACGCTTCAGGAAGTGGTACAATCACCTCCAATATGCATTTTATACAGAAATGGGCAGAGTTTAGGACGCCATTTTGTTTTCAACGTTTCGAATGACGTCACACACTGCTTTCTCGGCGACTTTCTGCGTCTTAACACATCGCGTGCTTTCGACAATTGTTATGACCACATAGAAACCAGGAATTAAAAAAGCAAAATTTGAACTGAGAAAATAACACAGACCCGCTGATGGCACGTGCCTGTCTCAGAACAGACCAATCCTAACTTGCTAATGGATGATGCACTTGAGATACAGATGGGTTTTAAAATGCTGACCTAAAGCTTTTAATTTGCAATCCAAATTTCCTACAAAACAGCACCATCATATTATCAAAACGAGAACACCTCTTATTTATAATGTTTAACATCCATAGCTGAACTCATTTTGCCCAAAGGATTGTGAACATTTGGGGTATCGTGAATTGCCATCGATGAGGATTTGCATAATGCAAGAAAGAAAACAGACCGCAGATGCAAAACGGCACCGAATACTGTGTCGCTTTGACCCCCCAAATTTTTACATAGTTTTAAGCCTTAGAGTGAAGAGATCTAACAGCATAACTGAAGGTCCAGATTAAGAAAACTCAGCATTTATTGAAATAATAAGATGTTGATTAAGACTCTGCAATCAATGTTGCTTTAGAAAAGCAGTAATTACTCGGGATAATACATAATTATTCAATGCGCACTGTAGCTGTATTAAAGTTTTAGGACTGAGTTTTTCACTTGCTGAAAATACCTAAGGGCTCAGATCCTTCATTTCGCCCCATTTTATCCAACCACAACGGCAAGATGATTAATAACGGTTTTTGAAGCACTTACTGGAATGATGTTTAAAATAATAGCAAGCGACTTTACAAACAAGACTTTGTTTATTTACAATAACTAGACTGCAGTTGAGTTTATTGCTGTCACACGATTTTAACTTATTCTTGCTCAGAACTTCCATTCGTCCATTTTTTTTCAATTAGAATTCCACATCCCGATGAACCTCTGGAGGGTTTCTCTTTTATCTGAAAGATGGCGACGTAAGTAGAGCTCTGAACTGATAAGTTTTTACAACACAAAAATAAAGCACAGTCTAAAATCCAAAGACCCAGCAAACAACCACACAGACGAGTTTAAAACGGATGTATCCGTTGCTTGGACTCATTAGGATGGCTTTGGGTGATAATAATGTGAATGGCATGGACGGTCAAGGGCTGCCTATAGGCTATGGGCGTCGATTACTTTTCCAAAGTTAAGCCTGGTTCCAATATCGACGTAAAGAGACACAGAGAGCCGATCACTGGCTTATCCATCGATGCAGAGAGTCGCAAAATTTGGATCAGGTTCAACTTCGCCGACTCTCTGCGTTCAGTCACCATGGGACGCCCATGCAAAATAAGTTAGCAGGACAGACGTACGATATCCTTCTCGCTCAGTACCACCCATTTTGCCCATTTTCTCCTTATAAGTACAACCCCAGTTGTCAACAAAACAGCTGACCATAAACAATCAAACTCAAATATTATCGGGATTCAAGAGGCAGTATTGCTACGTAAAAAATTCATTATTTGCGAATATTTTCCGAGTTTCGGACGCCACATTGCTCACTTGTTTTGGTGGAATGACGCCATGTCTTTTGCGACTGTCTGACTCTTGACGTCTGCAATGCGCGTCCCCGGTGTTTGTTATGACCATTATGGGAACCAAGCTTTAGAGTGAAAAGTGGATCGGCGAAGACTACATACGTCACAAAGACCGGCGTACATGACAGCTCCAGACGTACATTCGAGTAAATAGGCCTACTTTATATCAAAGTACCTGCGCCCCTTGTTTTCTCGCTTCGTGAGCAACGCACATTTCAGGGACGAAAACAGTTTTTTTTAAGGCAGCAGTGCGTACGTGGAGGATTGGTCATGGAAAAGTTCCACAAACTCAGGAGAAAAACAAAATTCCTTTTGTCCAGTAAGAGTCGTGTACCTTAAGCAGATGCTTCAGTATAGTATCGATGGAAAGACACTGTTCCATGAATCCAAAAAGCTCTCGAAACTTCCTTAACAAGGCGGACTTAGTCAGATAAGGCGAACGAGTTTCAATTTGTTTAGGCCTATTAAAAAGAAAACAAAGTTCTGCCGGTACAGCCTTGTTCTTTAGGCTACGGAAATGCTTCACTGCCACACAGAATACAAAACCAAAGCGATAAAGCAAATGACATGATACATCACCCCAATGGTCACGACGTTCCAATGGTCAGATACAATAGTTAGCTATATTTCAACAAATCTACAGAGAGGTTTTGGTCACACCTTCGTGGCTGGTATACTCCCGTCTTATTTTTGACATCTCTTTCGGCGAAAGCAATATTGTGTTACCGATACAGAATGAATTATCTGCTATTCTCTCCGCATTTAATTCATTCAAATTAAAAACACTCACGAGGTCTTATTGTGCATAATTTTCATGACTACCGAAGGCGCCCTCTATATTATCAGATGGGTAGTTTCTTTGTAACAATAGAAGCAATTAATACAATATCAGTACATAAATATATCGCACTCAAATATTACAATATACTGAGCACAATGAAGCTCATGCAAACAGGAAGGAAAGTCTAATGAACTCATGACCTTCGTGGAGGGCGCCTTCCCCCCTCGACCGAATAAGAAAAATACAATATTTAATCTATTTGAAATATCACATCAGGAAAAGGGGTGTATGGAACTACAAACTAACAGATAGGTTTCAAATTAAGGACAGCAGGAGGGGCCCTGTGTTGTAAAAATGTTCACGTGACGAAACGGGTTCGTCATGTGTTCATTTACATGTACATATGAATAATTAAGGGATTCCTCCATCCTCTGGACTCTCCTCCGAAGACTGTGGTTGGACAAACTCTTTCCTCAAGTCTGGATAGACACTTGTCGGCGGTATGAAACCCCCATTTACCACCGTTTCTCGTCTGGGGGCTTGATCGCTATCCTGTAAAGTCCCGTAACCCTTGGACTTCTGATGAACAACACCGGCGATGTCCGGCCCGAGGCCCTTGCCGTTGATCTCGGGCATGTGTTGCCGGGGCGGGCTTGCCCAGGGCTGTTTCTCACCAGAGGCGAAGATGCCATAGAAAAGCACGCCAACAAAGTGGACGCAGGCTGCTATCAAGAAGACCTTTTCCCAATCATCGGCAGTCTAATATTAATAAAGCAAACATGATGTTGTATTGGTTGAAATTGGGTTAATGCTAACAGATAGCTTTCTTTTCTAATCAACAAAGTTGTAATCAATTGCACCTAGTGTATCAGAATACAATCATAATGAAGTGCAGCCACAAGATGTTAAATGAATTATGAACAAAGACCATTCTTTATCCATGATCAGTTGCTATTAGCAGTGAACCGGACTGAACCCGTGCCGTGATGTGACTGTTATCGATGTATTATGAAATCGTCATGAAAATGTGATTGCAATGCCATTTTTCTACAAACCTTGAGGACGTAGGCCCCTACCTTCATGTTTTAATTAACTCTATTTTTTTGTTGTCGCAAAGGGTATTCTGGTGCCTTTTAGGTTTCATGCTGATGTGAATTTCAGTATTTATGTCATTACTACGATGTCAACCCAGGAGTAAGCCTCAATGTTGAATTGACTGGTGCACAAAACACTGCTGGGTTTTCCTGTTTATTTTTTTCGGTCATTTGTTACTGTTTGAGTACGTGGCAGTAGCCAAACAGCTAAGCTTTCTCAGAAAGGTTTCAAACGAGTAAATTTGAACAGTGATGACCTCACACTGAGCAATGTCTTTTAGACGAACATCAGAGCAAGAGCGTCCTTTGCTCTCTGGAAAGAGTATGGACGGTTTTGAACATTGAAAAGTGCAGTTTTCAATGCACTAAACCCTTAAAGGAAGTCAAATGGATTTGGTAAACTGAAGAAAAACACATAGTTGCATAAAAAGTATATTTTAAGACAGTTTTCCTGCACCAATTTTTTAGCGTTAATTGTCTTAGCATTTACAATTTAGCAACTCTCTAGCTTCCCTTATACGTTACATGTCAAAGTCGCATTTTGGGTATTGCAACTGTATCTAAGAAAGTCTGGTATCAAGCCACTTCTGTTGTTCCATTGCTTGTTCAAAAGTCTTAACTACTTTTTTTCAAAAAGCTATTGACATAATTCTGGTTCCTTTATTTCCACCTACGTTGGATCATTGCTACAACAAGCCCACAGTTTTGAAGTTGAATGCCGCATAAATGTGCGTTTTCCGATTTGTTGGTTATGACAGTCACTGTCGAGTGACACAAATCAAATCGAAAGAGTTAATTTGGATAAAATTTGATAATCATGTCTGAAGAATGTTTTGGTCCAAACAATGCTCAAACTCCACCACGCCAACTTTGTCTTGCTTTTTTCCTGACCATAAACTGTCTCCGAAAACACCAAGTAAGCCTCTGCCCGCTGAGACTTTGAAAACAATGTGCATCATATATATCGTACAGAACCTGTGCAATGACATTTAATAGGTTGCCTTGGGTCCGAGTTGGCTTTTGGTCTGAGTTGGCATGGGTCCGAGTTTGTTTGGGCCCGAGTTGACTCGAAATCGTCTTGTGTATGTAGAACTACTGTTTATATGCATGCTGTCCACATATCCGCTTGGTGTTTACCTTATTCGCAGTGAGTGCTGACGTCACTTCTGGGCATATCATTCCAGCTAGGGTTCCAACAGCGTTGGATATGCCCATCAGTATGCTTGCATAACGTGGGGCAATGTCGAGATGATTAACATTAAACCCTGCAGATGAAAAGAAGAAAACCCATTGGTGAGAGCAGTGTCGTTACATGTGCACATTCACAAGCCTAAAAATTCTCCTTTAATGCAACTTCAAGCCGTTAGAAGTTTCAACAAAAGTTCGAAGGGAAATGACACAGTGCTGAAACTCACTGTATCTAATTGCATATAACCGTTTGAAAAGTTAAGAGCTAAGTTGCACCCCGATACTTTGCGTTCCACCTCCGTGTCTCTGGGACGAATCCTGGCCGTTAATCATGATGTTGTTAGTACTGTTTAAAAATGTTCATCTAAATATACTGGCAAGAAGTATCGTTGGTGGAGTTGTAACAAGTCACAATTTTGGTGAATCGAGCCGAGACGAGTCACTGTAACGTCGTGACTTGAGCTGAGTCGAGTCATTACGCAAACAGAGTCGAGTCAAGTATTTAGCTCGAGTTTGAGTCACAAATATTTGAGTACAATACGAGAAATGAAAACGTTAATTTAGGTATTTTTAAATTCACCTCTGTATTACTACAGTGTGGTCACACCCTATCTTACTTTTGATAATAACAACACGACATGAACATTAGAGTTTTGTGATGAGGGACTAGAGTGGAGTCGACTCATTGGTTGGTACATTGAACATACACTAGTTACACGAGCTGTTGGCTCGTGCTAGAAATAAGGAGACCTTTAAGATCATTAATTTTGATTTAGCAGATGCCTTTAGCAGCACATGCACTGGTATTAAAGTATGAAAATTAGTCATATTCCGCCCACTATTTATACATTATGTTTAAGAACTTGTTCTCTGACCAGAACAACTTCTGGACCATCTTGGAACTCAAAGCTATTTTAGGTATGTCGACCGAGGAGTTTTCCAACGTGATCCAGAGTTATGGCTTCAATTGACAGCATGTTAATGCTTGGTAATACGCTGACAACATTTTTGAGAAAACTCAGTCCTATGAATTTATTATTCATTTAAAGGTCAAGGTGTAAACCAGCTTTGTTAATTGAAATTGTTTTATTAATGTTATGTTGTATTATTATTCAACATACATTATGTTTCTTTTGTGTCAAATATTGTGTCCTTTATGTTTTGTTTCAAATATATTTTTGGGTATTGAATGTCTTTGTACGTCTATCCCGAAAACTGAAATAAATGAAATGAAACAAACCACACGATGTCATCAACATATGCACTTGCAAAAATCCCACCTCCAGGAAAAAGTCTGAAAGCCGTAAAGCGAAAACCAGCTAATGTTAGACAAAAAGACTGGTCAAGGTATGTGCATCAAAGCCAAGGATTCCAATCGTGCAAGGCCTACCAAAGGCCCTCCTGAGTGTTGCAGTAAGGGCCAGTATTGATAGTCTACCTATGCCGGACTATCTGTATGAAATAAAGATTTTAATACAACTCACCTGATATTGCAAAGCCACTTGATCCCACAGCAATGCACATACATAGAATTGCCATTTCTTTTCCCCTTGCGTACGCTGTAAACAGCAGAAATATTGCTTCTCCTCCAAACCCTGCAGTAGACGAGAAGATTTTACAGTATTTATGTGCAGGGGTTATGTTCAGGATACATACAATACAAGTTGGGGGGGCTACCGGATATAATTGTCACGGATGATGAAGACACAGAACGCAGAACAGTTTTGACAAGACCATAAAGAAATCGACCAATATCGAAAACAATAGTTTCAGCTAATTTATGCAACTTACAGCAGTGCGCCGAGCAATGCAATGCCACTAACGTATATTGTGCTGGAAAACGCAATACAGATCCACTTACACAATTGAGCACTAATGGAAAACTATTACTTAGGAAATCATGATGTCATTTGCTTTACATAACAATGTCGAATTGAGTAAGCACTCGAAATCGGTTACATCGGTTAAGTTTTCTTAACCTGAATCGCCCTACTGCGGTGTTGGTCTGCTCTCATTATATGCAGACCCATACAAAAGAATTGTGCTCAGTTTTTTTACAGCGGAGAATTCTGTTATCACAGGTCTATGTGAATGGATCCTTCAGTATGTAACAGGAAAAACGTGGCAATAAGTCCACCTACCTCCACAGTTGAAGAGTTTTCGGACCGTTGTTGTGGACATGAGCTGGTTTCGACGGAGACAGTCAGCCAGTTGACCCCCAAGGGGAACAATTATAGCCATAACTAGGTGAGGCAAGGCCGATATTATACCAACCTACGGGAAAGAGAAGTTCCACTTCGATGTTTATAGCCTCCCAGTACAACAGAAGTCATCAGAGAGTGATTAGATAAAAATAGAAGTATCATATCGGCATCCATATAGGACTTCAGATCGAGAGTGTTAAAATTACACGACCGTTTTGCATGGAAGTCACCGCGATGGCGTTGGTACTTCCATTTTACAAGCTACCAACGAAGATTTGGTGGATGTTATATACCTCTTGTTTACAGGCCAAAATACGTATACCAATGAGTACCTTTCCAAAATGGTTCTAATAATAAATATAAAGAGAAAATCATTACACTGAAGGATTACAAATTCTTGATGTAAATCATGTCTTTATTTATTCAAACGATGGAATTCAATTACGTGAAAGTTTACAATAGCACATAATGTTTAAACAGTGTTTTGCCTGCACAGAAGCTACTGGATCGTATGTTTTATTTTACCATAGAGAAAAGACACACAACACAGAAAACAGTTTTTTTTTCTGTCCCGATTGTCTGTCCTTTTTTCGTCAGTTTTATCCTCTGTGGTAAGTGCCTTTTGCAATAGTGTTTAGGATATTGTCCTCTGTGGTACTGAAAAACACAACTGTGTGCTTCCTGAGTTGAAGATGTCTTGTATGTGAGGTTAGAACCATGCAAGAGATTGCAATTTAAACAGGAAACAAACCCTTTCACATGCTGTAATATCAAACATTTTTCACTGCCAGGGTAATGAAAAAAATACCAGTATCATTGAAGCGCGCGAGAAATTGATGACCACAGCTGCAAAATACGATTGGTGTAAACGATGCAGATGTACGATGCACTGACCTATCGAAACTCATGCGATGTTCGGAGGTTGTTGTAAATCTGTCACTGCTCAGCGTAGCGATTCATTTTTTTTGTTACCTGCGATATTTCGTAATGGAACACTTGCTCAAAGTACGACGGCTGGCCGGTAAGTAGCAGGTAAAATGTCCAGCTCCGGCAGAAATTAGCAACGATGATAGCGTAGACCGGAAGTGACGTGAAGAAACTTTTCCAAGGCGTCTCCAAGAACTGCATGAAGGAAGAAAAACAGTCAAGCCTCGTGTCAGTGCATGCAGTCAACAAATAGCCTTTTTGAGGTTTTGAGGCTTTTTTTGAAGTTATTGGGGGGCGCTACTTCTTTTGGGTAAAAAGAACGTTTGTGTTTCCTCCAAATTTACCAATTCAAAAAAGCGCCGTCCGACATGCTTCAAAATTGCCAATGCGCGAGACGGAGCGATTTTGTTTCCGAGACTGCACCGTTCAGTTAGTTTACAAAGCTGTTTGTTTGTGTTCCCGATTGGTATAATATTGGTTTAATTTTAAAAAGGTATTTGCTAAAGCTCACAATATCAATTAGAATGTCTGCCACTTTCCTGCTAAGGGATGCACATATTTTGTGTGGAGAAATCTTTGATAATGAAGGTTGGAAAAGTGACCCCTTATCAACAATACAGGCAAGCAGTGCTCTCAAAGATTCTAGGTCTTATTGAATTTGTCGCAACGCCCATTATGTAATACCGACTTCCATGTTATTGGCATGATCATCTGAAGTCAGGGTACATGCAGAGCACAATGACTTTCCTGGCACGTGTCCCACCACGAGTTTCAAAATCTGCCATTTAAAACGAATTGACATTGTGTCACAGGTCAATAGGACGTGAATTTAAGCAGAAGACACCTTGGGAGGGATACTGATGACCTTAGGAATATGTCGCTCAAAGTTAAACAAGAAAAGGTATGATGAAGGGCTGGAACGCGTAGTGGATCAAAAAATGAAAGATACGAAGAAACAAGCAAATTGACTTGATTACACGTTCACCATGGCCAGTAAAAAAAACAAAAGTAAATGAAACAGCTCAGATTACACATTCAAGCAACGATCGGGAAAGTGTAAACGTAAAAAAAACTACCACACTAACATCTATCTGGAAAACAAATTTTAGGGCTGAAGCATCGGTTAGTTTGTTCTGGACAACGCTAGATGGTGCTTGACCTAATCAATAACGTTGAAGCAGGGTGAATCACGTGAAGCATGGATGGAGAGTGCGGTAGGACACACTGCGATGTGTGTTGGGTGAAATGAAGCTGTTATACGGACTGGTAGCACCACATGCTTATGGTTGACTTGTCTTGTAGAAAATGCTTTGTCCGCCTAAAATTTGTACAGTGGTTTTAAAAGCAACTGGTTTTTAAGCGACCACTTTGAATGGTTATTGGTGGAAGTCAATGCACCATTTACCGCTCTCCGTGATGAAGAGCGTGCAAGTCGTCCAACTTCGCGTTTACACGTTTCAAAGCAAACGTCAGAGTATGATACACAGATTAATCTAGCTACAGACGCTTCTGTCGTTGTTTTTTTACAATCGCTGATTTGATGCAGCCATAGCTGTTTTGCATTGACACTTAATCGATTAAAAGCCAGGTTCAGATTTGAAGACAATTTAAAACAAAATGTAAACTAAACTTTGGGGTATGAGTAGAGGCAGTAAAGTCTGGACAAGGGGCTTGTTGTATGCCATTTTTGCGAGGCAATCATTTTTATATGTTTTATTATGCTACTGTGCTGGGCTATCATTCCATACTAACTTGCACGCTCCTTACTGAAAATCAGCCTTTTATCATGCAGTAATTGGGAGGGTGGTGTGGCTTGCAATTTTAACAAGATTAGCCAAATATCGACTCAAAGATGGCTATATCACACCAGGGTTTAAGGAAAGGAGTGAGAAATCAAACAAAAATTACGTATTGTTTAATTATTATGGCTACGATGATTAAAGTTCACGCAGCTTTCAGCTTCATTGAAAACTGCCAAACTTACGTTAGCCTTGATGTAATAAAACACTCCTCTCGCCCATCTGCCGGGCCCCGCCCCTACCTTAGTCTCGTCCTCAACCCACAGACCTGTCTGCAACGGGATCAACACATGCCGGTGTTGATTGGTCAAATCAGTTTTTTGTTTGTTTATGCAAATCAAAGCTGTGCGATGATTGGTTCAACCGAAAACGTTGCTCAGTTCATTTATTTGACAAAAAGAAATAACACTCCACTCACGATTGTCACATTAGCCTAAATATATAATAAATCTTGTCACGACTTTCTATTCATTCTACTGGTGCACGGGATGGGATTTTTTTGAGGGTAGTATTTAAAAATAAGAAGATAGTCACTCATAATTCGACGAGCGTGCGTTCGACCAGAGTTACTTTATAGACCTGGAGGATGGTTGTGGTTAACTATGGGCCTTGATCGAACTTGTCAGTGCCACTCCTAAGCAAAGCTTGTTTTCTTGAACAAAATCTGCAATTTCCAGACATTTAGCCCCCTCCCTCGTTTTTCCTATCACAATAATCTTTGTCCATAATGCAAGCTTGTGGGTAGTGATTACATTCTGTTGATTTATATTTTGCAGCTATGGCGTGAGGGTGGTTCCTGACACGTGCATGTGACGTTTACGTGTAGTCGAGCATACATGTCGCCGCGCGGTTGTGTGCATAACATGTGCACAACATTCAATGCTTTTATTTTTCTTTCGGGGACAAATAACTCCTCACAGACGCACAATATCTTAAGGGGTATAACAAGGCCAAAGTTTCAGTTTTCAGCATTTTCATAAAGGTTGTAACAGTAACACAGTGAAAAACTTGTATTTTTTAAAAATCGACTGGACAACGATGCAGAAAGAAGATTGGACTACCACAACCCACGGACATGTGGACTGATCTCCCGTTTTAGTTCAACCCCAAAGCAAACAATGATGCAGCTGGGCACATGCACCGTTGCAATACCAAACTTTTTTTCTTACATTACTTAACAGTAACAACTGTTGGGCATGATTGTTAATTTCTAAGATTGAATCCCGAGCGATCAGGATTCATTAAACATAAAAGAAAGGTTTAAAAAATGCCAATGTCTGTCATGTTAAGCTCTCTTTTGCTCAGCCACAAAGTAATCACGAGAAATAAATGCATACCATTGTTTTAAAATTTTTATGACGTGATAAAAGTTACAAATTCTCATCTGCGAAGTCCCAAGATAGTGAAAAAATGTTACCTTCATGGGTAGCATGGTCAGAGTCTCTCCTATGCTCTCTTCTATGTACGTCCGCTCTTCTGCAGATATGGTTGGATGTGTGCTCGGCTTTTCGTAGATTAAATACATGAAAAAGCCGAACCATACAATACCACAGCAGCCTGGAGGAGACATGGAATGGGAGGCATGTTGTTAGCTTTGTTGGAGGTGAAAATATAAAACGTCTACTGTTAAGTAGGCCTACGGTTTTAAAGAGTGGAAACTGGGCGTCATGGAAATTACTGATTGAATCTAGAGTTTTATGTCTGTTCATCAGGGGACAAAATAAGCCATTCGCGAGTTACATTTGAATAAAATCAGGTACACTGAGTTATATGATTGGCATAAACACAACAATTTGAATTCCCCGGACTAAAAACACTGTTGCTATACCTTGCAATTCGAGGGCAAACGTTTGCATAGCGACCGCCATCTGTGGAATAGACTAGTTGCTTTTTGCCCTTCCTATCCGTTAAAAACAGTGTATTGGTAAGCAAGGCCTAGCCCGAATCACGAAGTATCTTTGGCAACAGTGTCTTTAGTATGAAGAATGTTTATGGTCACGTGAATGCAAAGAACTCAGTGTACCAGATTTTATTCAAATTTAACTCGCAAAAGGCTTATTACACTAGTAACGAGTGAGAAACAAAGATCATCATGTAACGTAAAGGGAGCGTTGCTGGATGAAGGACATGATGAGTGAAAGGTGATTTTTAATTAAGGGGTTATTTCATTTCCCTTTTTCCCAGATTCATGTAAAAAGCCCCCAATTACATCACCCTGTAGGGAGATCACCTTTCATTTCATTTCATTTATTAATTCTGGAAGCTAAAGTTACAAACAAGCACGCATGTACGAAAATTAACTAGAAAGAAGAGCTAAGCAACACCCATGCATGATTGCAAAAAAAGAAAACTGAATTACTGATATGCTGTCAAGCTGCTCTCCTAGGTGCCACAACAAACGAAACAAATAAATACATACAATTGCACATGAAAAACAGGAATGGAAAGGAATATATAACGCGATAAAAGGAATGATAAACAAGATTGTAGCTGAATCAGTAGGCAATAAATTAAAAATAAATTTATCTTCAATTACCTTTACGGTCACCGATAACACATATATATAAGCCCTAAGTCCCCCAAACCCACGCGAAGATAACAATGCAACCCACCCACATACCAAAGGCACTGCCGCGATACCTCGCGACTCGGGGCAAATCTATGCTAAGCCACAGAGGAGACACCCCACAAACGCACACCGTCCACGATGAAGAACAAGGTTACAAATAACCAGCCCCGCGCTTTTAGTCAGCAAAACCTCGTCCCCAACCACTAGGCGCGGCAACAGCGTCCAAGCCCGGGGAACTCGTACTGCCATGTCCACCAGGCGATCAGACAAACAAGAGTACCAAACCCCACCCAAACTCAACTCGCAAAAGGCTCATTAATCGTGATACCGACAAGACATGAATAGCATACACACACACAAAAGTCAAAAAGAAAGATAATACATGCGTTAAAAGTACGTAAGATTACATCCTAAATTCCTAACATTCCACCCAGAATAAAAAAAAGAACAAAAAACGAAAGGATTTCACACCCCACCAAAAAATTGCCTGCATTTGCATTTGAGTAGAAGTGGGAAATATTGTTAGGTCTACAGGTTATCCTCTTAAACCAAGGGTTATTTATCATTCTAGGAGCGAGTTTCTCCACATAGCTTCACCGATCTCCAACATTGCCATTAGGTATAATTGCACCAGCTTTAAAATAACTCACCAAATACATAGAAGACGCTTGGCCAGCCGGCATACTCGGTAAGCAGCCCAGCAACGGGCATACCAAAAACAGCACCAGCATAGGAACCTAGCAGGAAATAATCAGCAATGATATTGCACAAATACGTTAGCTATCCGGAAGTGCGCCCCCAATGCATTAGCAACGCAAACGGTATCGTCGGAATGCTGATTGACAGCTGTAATTAGCCGGAAACAGGTTACTGAAAACTAAGGAAATAGCTGTCTTTTGAATCCGGATAGGGCTGGTAGAAACTGTCATTCGAAATGGCGGGATTGACGATAGAGTGCATCAATTTCCCGCCAAATCGCTACACTGAAGCGGCAATATTTCACAAAAGCAGATTGTCTGTTCTCATGTTTATGGTCATCGTTTTGTCGTTTGTGTCTCTGATCTGACCCACGCATTTGAGGTCTGAATTCCGAAAAACGGATAGGCCTATGATGAAACTTTACTTCCTACTTCTAGGGAGGGGCTTAAAGTGCTTTATCATTTGGTGGAAGCGCATTTTTCTATGGCATCAAGATGTATGGAATTTAAGATAAAGACGAGTTGATCTGTCATCGATCGCTACATATATCAAGGCATCGGTCAAATGTCTGACTTGTGTAAATTGACACATAAACTAATAAATGACTCAGCCGTCTCAGCGTTACTGATTTAGCGCCTTAAAGTATTGATTTTTTATATTGGCTGGTCAGTTGTCGATCAACACACAAATTGGTCCATTTGGTTGATACTTTTAACTCCCGAATGACCAAGTGATAGACGAAAACGCTTTCCAGAATCGTGACACAAGTCGGGGACAAGTCACTAACCTGAGAAAGCAATGGTCGCCAGCATACTTCGTTCGAGGGGTGGCGCCCATTTACTCCACATACCATGGCAGGCCGGGTATTCGACACCCTGATAAAAAAAAGTTTCCTCAAGTAAGTGATCTTGGAGGGCACAAATCATCAAGAGCTGAACGCAAATTCGAAAAGCATTTCTGTGATACTAAGTCTTGTCTTGCCATTAACATTATACACAGACAGCACAGACAGCTAACAGAAAGCAACATGGAAGGCGGAGAAAGTGAGCTTTAAGGGTCTTCTTGGAGCTTGAATATGGAGAGTGAAAAAGGAGGACCATCTGAAAATGGTGACCATTGCTTTTCATGGGACTGTGGAAATTAACGTGTTCCTTGTACAAAATGGGAGCTCACACTAGCATCTTATGGGATCGCTATCTGAATGGATTATAAAGCCTTCAATAGCTTAACCACATTTCCAGTGCTGAATTGTTTTTCCTACAACAGGTTGGGCCCATCCTGAAGTCTGAATCATAATTCTTGCGAACGCAAAAGCAAAGCCAATTTGACGTCAAAATAGTTTGTAGTGAAATTAACTTGAACATAAAATGTGTTCAATATGTTTGAATGTTTTTGGAAACTGCAACACGAATATTTTGACCTTGCCTCACGACTTCGCGAGTGTCCGCTTTCGCGCCAAGTGTGAGTCAACCTAAAGAACCTACGGGAGCCAAACTGTATATGTGTCGATGGGCAAGGTACTATGCCAATGGCCAGGGACCAAAGGCATGGATGACTTGACGACGTGTATGGATTTTCCGTCTTCAGAAACCGACTCGAATGGTTCCTTCTGTACGGGTCATCGACACTTGTGCTGCTCGGACCTTTAAGGCGGTTGGTGGCTGCGCAAGCGATTAAGCATAATTACGCCTTTACACACGAAATGTGACTGGAAAGACAGAATGAATTAGCTGCATTGATACACACTGAGATGGGGCAATTATAGCACCCCCAACCTACATGTACATATTGCAATAAAAGAGATTTTCCACTCATGAGCAAAGATTGAAAGTTCTTACTTCTATGAGTCCCTGCAGTACCCGGATGACGATTACCAAGGAGTAGTGCACGTGACATGCCAACGGAATGAAGAGGTTCAAAACAGACGACATGAATATGGCTGTACAAAATATCCTGGTTGTGTAAAAAGAATATAGAAATACTAGTTAATACTCCGATTGAACCCATCGCAAGACACTAAGAGCTTACAAGAAGCCAAAGTGACATTTAACTTGCATTCAAACTGAAAACTGACAAGAGCTCCAGTTTATAACAACGGCCCCGAATATATGCAGTATTCAGGGTCTATTGCCAGTACTGCGTTTTTCATTTTTCTTCTCCAGGTGCCAGAAATAAATTCCTCGATTTGATGTCGTAGTTCGGCTTCCTTACTACCCCTGGGACCGGTTGATGGCCTGTTGAAATTTACACCGAATGGTTTGGCATTATCTGCGGCTCCATGCCAAGCAGGTTGATGTCCCGTGGCAGGATATTGATTCATATTGAGTTAAAATCACTAACGTCAGGATTCCTGACTTACGCGAAGTCAAACGGTCACGAAATAGAGGTTTGAAAAAGATCACGCTACCATGTGTGGACAAAATAGACTTTCACAGAATCGCGACTTTCAAAATGCATGTATAGGCCTAGAATTCAACCTTCGCCCCATGAAGTGACCTGTTCCATGAGACGAGAGGAACTTGACATGTCAGTACAATTTAATGACAAAAAATTAAACAAAAGGAAAGCACAACCAAACACAATTATAATTAATTTGAGTTGTTATTATCTCAAAAATAACCATTTGCCAGTCCTAACACCTGCTCACACAATTTTTTGTCTTAATTTCTGGCAAATCGTATGTGCAATGGAGCGTAACTTGCATTAAATGTTTGCTCTAAAATGACTGCTACCGAACCAAGTTAACCAAAGGTTTATAGTTTAACTGTTAATCAAAGCAACATAATTTTGTTGAAATGTTTAGAATTCACATGTGTTCATGAATTACAGACGCAACAAAAAAGAGGATTGAGGTTGCAAATGTTTACTTAAGAGTTTTACTGTAACGTTTTTGTATCGATGAGATTTCATAGGGGTGTTGAATGCCTTCCGTTGATCCAATAATTTGAGATTTTAAATAACATATTCTCCACCTTTGTATATATGCGTTGCAGCAGGTACAAAATCGGAACATTTCAAAATAATCTGTATATGACATTTTATCATGATAAAATGCTTTATTCTCATAATTTCATTATTTTAAGTCAGATAAGGTTGGAATCTATGGAATTAACCTTACAACCCATGGTTTGTAAGACACAGTGAACAAAGAACTTCAGTGTCGAATTATTCAGGGCAGGAAATGACCTACCTTAATCAGCATCTTCATTGTTAAAATGCAAGTGCATAACTACACACCGCTTTTGGCAATACACAGCACATGCATTCCTAGCCTATGGTTCCACCCATGAAGAATTACTGCACAAAGTGCCATTGCAAATTTTACGTGAACTGAGTACTCTGAGCTGACCAGGACCAGCCAATTAAGAACAGTGTTGGTAACTTTATCATGAATATTATAGGGTGGCCATTCTGGGTAAGGTGTGGGGTTGTGTTTGCCTATGTAAATTCATATATTGCAAGCAGGACAGTTTACGTTATGGAACTTTTTAGCAACTAGTCTGTGGTTGTGTGAAGTTTGATTAAGTACAAATGTCATGGCAGATTTAGTGGAAAATTCTAAAATTCTGCAGTGTCTGCTTGATGGGATGGGATAACTCTTCATGTTATTGCAGAAAAATTGTAATACTTTCCAGCCCATGCAAATAGGTACAGAATTCGGTTAGGAAACAACACTGGGTTGTGATCAGGATCCACTCGTTAATTTATGCACACTGATCAACAATCAAGATAGAAGATTTGAGCCAATGAGGGTTTAGGCTGCTTCAAACTTTTAGCCAATAGGAAGGCTTCTCACGCGCTCTGTTGGGGGGAAAGTAAAATGCAGCTTGAGGTTACTTTGTCAAAGCCATTTTTGGGAAACACATTCGGGAAATTAAAACTGTCAAATTGAACTATCAGATAGGTATCCATCTCTGTTTGGCCAACTCACTTCAACTTGTCTGCCCTTGGCACGGCTGCTATAGGGCTTAGACCAAGAGGCCTAACTCAGTAGTTTTATCAGCTTTTACACTGTGCATTTGGAAGACTTCCCTGGATATTAATGGAGCCTGGGCCTAGTCCTGTGCAAAGAATTTGTTACTGGATTGTTTCTGTTCTTCATTTTGGCAGTGGTTCAGAAGGGTCATCAGCGAGATGGAACACTTCCTCAGATACAAGTACTGTGCCAAGGATTGGTTGCTTGACTGCTTTTCTGGTTGCCAACAGGCATGACAGGGCCAGGGATCTTCTTTTTCAACCTTCTTCATTTAATCATTGGATTTGACAGTCCTTAGAACTGTTGCAGTATTTCACAATATGGCATAAGCATACCCAACTGTCGTTCAGTCTGGCCCTACCATGCCTACAGTCGTCAATTTTAACATTTGTCTGAACATTTGTCGGGGAAAAAGACTAAGACTATTGGTCATTATGCCCCAACAACCCCCGTCAGAGGCGGCGCCTATCGAAGCCAGCAAGCGTGTTGAACTCAAAACGTTAGCGGTCAGCACCAGTATCTACGCTGAGCCGTGCTCCAGATGCTTCCACGGGGCCTAGTTTTACTAGCGCTCCGGCAGCTCCATTGGTGGAACCAAGACGATGTGGTAGGCGTAACCTCAGAGCGCTCCTATCAGCTGTGGCTACTATTGGTGATAATGTTAGCTCTCTTGGTGGCACTCAAGTCAGTACTAGTGACAGCACTGAGAACAATGTTAGCAGTTTGGTTAGTGCATTACCGCTTCTCATGCCCATTAATGGTGGAAATATTAGTGTGTGTAGCTTTAGTAGTGTTAGTTGTGGTAGTAGCAGTCCTGCTAGTCAGTTGCCCCTTCCTCCCTCATGTATCGGGGCAATTTTAGTTCCTTGGGTAGTATGGGTCGCGGTTCCATTAGTGTGTTGCTGCCAGCTTCCAGTACAAGATCGATGCAGTCCTCCAACAATAGTTTTAAAGCTACTGCTCCTGTCCTTGCTGGGTCCATACAGACTTCGGCTTCCCCACAGCCTGTTCCCCGAGCAGATGGCTATGCGCCCTTAGGAGGGCATGTTCCCTTAGCCCTTAAGGAAAAGATTTGGCAAGGGGCTTACACTGATCTCTCTTTGTTGCTACAAGAAAGTGCAGCAGCAGTGCTTGCCAAGTCCAATCTGAATTCCGAGCTCACCTTAACAGTGGAAGGCAATCTCATGGAAGTGTGCCAAGCAACAGCCGCTTGCACCTGGAAAATTGACACGATTGGTCCTCAGCATATCCTACCTTTATGGTTATTGATCTCCCAAAGCACCCTCACCGTTTTGCAGAGTTATTGTTTGTGCTGAAATCATTCGCTTGGCAATTCCCTGGTTTTGGGTGGAAGCGATATAATGAGCAATTTCGTCTCGGCCAGGAAGTAAACCTTCCAGGTTGTGGGGCGGTTTGGTTACCGAATTGTGGATTATGGGAGTAGTTGCACCGGTAATGCCGGCATCCCACTCAAGCTTTTTAGTCGAAAATGCTGAGCCTAGTGCTCGGGGCCTAAATTTTTGTATTGGCCCAAGGGGATGTCATATTCGAGCATGTAAGTTCATGCACAAGTGCTGCAAATGTTTTTCTTTTGTGCATGGGGATGGATATGCCTTGTAGGTCTGGGTCCCAGTTCAAACGTTTTGGTCAAAGAATACTGAGAGGTCAAAATCTGTTGGGAAAACTGAAGTAAGTAGGGTTGGGAAACTCCCCTTAAACGGTGGTGCTCAACCTAAGGACTCGTCTCAAGAATGAAAAAATTTCCGTGCCCCTAACTCCAATTGGGGCTGAAGTCTAAGCATCATGGCTGACTAAACATCCTAATCGGGAGGATGCTAAAATATTGCTCAATGGGTTTGCAAATAGAATTCCTATTGGATACGATGGTCTAAGGGATTCTCACTACCTCTTGTCGGCTGCTCAAAATCCCCGAATTGTCAGAGAAAATTTGGCAAGGAAATTGACCCAGTAGGTGGAATGTCCCAGCCCCTTTTCACTTCGGTCTTAATATAAGGTGTTCATCAATTGGCTTAATGCCAAAGCAAAGGCCAAATTCTTTCAGGCTTATTCATCATTTGTCTTTCCCTCAAGGGGTTCAATTAATTATTTCATTGATAAGAACCACTATCACGTACATTATGCTTTCTTTGACCAAGTAGTTGCCATGGCATTGAGCGCAGGTCTTGGTGCTTAGTTGGCAAAATCCGAATCAAATTTGCCTCCATGCATGCTCCTCCCTGTTTCACCGGTTGATTATGAATTGTTGATTGATTTTTCTTTGATGACAGCTTTTATTTTGATAAGTGCCTCCCTATGGTGTCAGCAGTGGCATGTGTTTTGTTTAAGAAGTTTAGTACTTTCCTAGAATCTCAAGTCAAGTGCATGGCCAAGTCATCCATGATCACACATTATTTAGACAATGTTTTATTTGTTGGTTCTTCACAGTCGTCATGTTCTGCATTACTTACCACTTGTGACAATGTGTGCTGAATTGGGTGAGCCAATGGCACAGGAAAAATACAAGACCCAACTCAAACTATCACCTGTTTAGGTTTAGATATTGACACCTTACAGCAGAAAATCCGGGTGCCTGAGGTAAAGGTGCCAAAAATCTGCACTAAAGTGTTAAAGGACACAAGGTAGATGGCAAAATGAACGAATAGAGAATCCATCATCCTTTGCCATTTTGGAATTTTTCCCATGGTAATGGCGTGAAGTGTTGGGGCCACCTGTTAACCAATCGTAAGTACTCTTTCACTCTGATGACACTGCAGTTGTGCAGATTGTCAACAAGCAAACATCCAGTTGTGCGCATATCATGCACCTGTTGCGCATATATTTGCGTCAGAATGCCTAATTTCAACATACGTTTTGGAGTAGTTCATGTAACAGGCACGCATAATGGACGAGCCGATGCTTTGTCCCATTTTTAGATGGAACGCTTTCGCAATGCCTCCTCAAATGCCGAGAAAGAAACAACTCGACTGTCGATCCTTCCTCAAGTGTGGTGAAAGGTGAGATAAACCACCTTTAGGGGCTTGCGTTGGCCCCAAACTCAAAAAGGATATACACATTCGGCTGGAATGCCTTTTGACCTAAGGTTGGACACCAAATACCATTTGGCCTGCTTCACCCCATGAAATTTCTGAGTTTGTAGCGTGGTTGTCTTTAAGAGATCTGTCACCTGGAACAATTTCAACATACATTACTGGAGTGTGACTTTTTTCCTAAAATTAATGGGTGGGTAAACCAAAGCAAGATATTCTAGTAACAAAGCTTGTTGAAGGTTGCTGGATGTTGATGCTAGATTACCAATATTCTTGTCAATTTTGGCACTACCTCTCGTTTGTTCATCTCAGTTTGAAAGTTTGATGTTTAAAGCAGTGCAACTTCCTGCCTTTTTGGGGGGGGGTGGGTGGGGGATTTGCTGCATATTCTAAAAACAGAAGCCAGAGCTTATCAATTCTGATATTGAGTTCCGCCGCAGGAATACTGAAGACACGTCAGTGCTGGTCTCCTTTCGACAGGGTAACACTATCTAGATGGGCCCGGCACAAACAATTTGCTTGACCCAAACTACTGAGCTGGGGTTGTGCCCAGTCACTGCACTGAAGGACAATGTGGCAGTTCGTCCCTCAATTTGGCAGCCATTATTTTGCCATTTTGACGGTAGTCCCCTGCCTAGGTATCATTTAAGTGCAATGTTGAAAAAGGTCCTTTCCTTCTGTGGACTACACGGCCTCCACTATCAAGGTCATTCCTTCTCCATCGGGGCAGCAACGGCTGCTTTTGAATTGGGATCATTGAGGTTGAAATTCAACGAATGGGTCATTGGCGATCAGATGCAATTTTTCATATATTCAACCGTCAGTGGTCCCTGTTTGTACTTGTGACCAAAATATGCAGTAACGTACCAAGGGCTCCACACCTTTCTTCCATTTTTCACAGGACCGATCTGCTTCATTGGGGATTCCATTGCGCGCTGGGCCACTCGGACTCTTAGTCTGACTAGGACAGTTCTTTGGAATGGACGTAGCTGGGCCGAAATTAATGATATGTGTTCCCTTGTGGCGAGGATTGGCACAAATGACTTCTTAATCAGTGGATGCCTTTTGCATTCGCCAGCACATTCTGGCCCTGATGGAAGACACAAAGTTTCTGTACCCACGAGCGCAACCTGTTTGGTCTGATATTTGCCCCAGGTATTTCAATTCGGTACAACAGCTCCAGCATCCACACACAGAAAGCGTGGTTACAAATGGGCCAAGTCCCGTTCTCGTAAATTGAAGGAATGTTATCACCCACAGTTTAAATGGACAACCATGGATTTGTCCAGGTATGATAGGGTGCACATTTCTAAACATCGGGAATCGGTTATTTGTATCCAACCTTATGTGTGGAATTTCAACTCTCTTGTAGTTTTCCAATGTGTTAGCTACCTTGTCCTTTCAGCGTGTTGCCTGTCTATCCCTGGGTCCGCGTTTGGCACGTTTGGCATTTTCTGGCGGGAAGTCGACAGCCGCAGGCTGAAATTTCTCGTGCACTATCATAAGGGTCAGTAGTTGTATTGCAGAAAGTGGGAATTTACCCATCATGTAATGTTTATACTATGACACCAGTAACGGTACGTGATGACATGCAATGGTAATGGCTCCTGTACGTTCAACAAGGGCCATTCTTCCCGCAGCTCATAGCGGTAAACGGGGGAACATCATGTGCCTGAATGGTTTAATAGTTCATTGTTAATGTTCATTCAAATTTTATTAATCGGTGTTGAAAGGCCGTGACGAGTTGTTTGGCCTGGTGTTGCCATTTGTTAAGGCTATTTCGTAATGGCGGATGGTGTGCCCTATTTTTGACAAGGTATGGGTGTGCCTTGTGTATTAGGGCTGATGTGCCCTGGTGTTGGTCTGTGGGCCATATATGGTGGTCCGAGTGTGCCTTACTCATGACTGGGTCTGGTAAGCCCAGGGGGTTAGGTGTGCCCCACTTCATTGCATATTGTTGCCAGTTTGCCAATACACTGGCAAAATTTTACTAATAAAGAAGAGCTCAGGCATATTCCCAATTATTTGTGTTTGTCCATTTTATCAATCTGAAAAAAAGCTGAGTCTATTTTATTGAGCGAATTTGAGTCACTGTCCTTTTTGATACTAACTTTTCAGTGTTGCCAGTAATTTTGCTCATATTTTTGGAACCCTGCAGGGAGTGACTTACCTATTCGCTGGGACTCTAGACGCCAAGTAGCCACCAGGCACTTGGGTGACAATGTAACCCCAGAAGAACGAGCTGTGCATAAGCCCAACTATTCTGGGATCCCAGTCAAATTCTCGGAACTGTAAATAATAAACAACAATTTCCACAATTTACCAAACAGCAACGGGGAAACCTAATAACAGGTTCACTAGAAGGCTCGTTAAGGCAAAGTAATATCTCTGAGAGTAAACAATATTAAAACAAACACTTTAATTTATTAAGTCGTAAATTGCCTATCCACGACTGGCTGGCATTTGGAATAACCCTAAAAAAGCACCATAGAATGAAACAAAAACGATTATTTTCCTTTTATTTTTGTCTGCACACTTAAGGCCTACAGGCTCTATACAATTTATGTCAGCGACAAAGTCGAGGCCACGAACCAGTCTCAGATCAGTCAATCCAGGGCGCCCTAATTCTATATAAGACGTGCCACTGTCAAGAGTCCGGTGTCACCCAATGTCCACTTGACCAAAACCGAAGGATATATATTTTTTCTGTTGCTTGTTGCCTATATTCAACACATGTTGCTCCCTTCCTACGAATTCTTTGGAGTTTCTTGCATGTTTTCAAAGTGACCGCCAACATAAACAGCCTGCATGTACATCTAAAAATAAGATCCACCCAGGGTTTTCCTTGTGACCCTTGACATGTTGCGTAATGATCTATTTATACCTGTCGGTGATACCTGACCTCAGATTTTTATCAAGAGTCCTCAGGGAGCCTTTGGTAAGGTAACCAGACTAACTGAAATTTCGAATTGTAAACAAATAAGTACGCTTCAACGGGTACTTGATCTCCAATCGTATTACAGAATTATTTGCCTGTCCAATGATTTTGCAGACGTATGTAAATTAGAAATAATTTGGGGCCCGGCGGTCCGTTGAAATTAACGCCTGATTTCATAACTTTTTTAAAATTAAATTTTAAAGTGAAATTGTTGATGTTGCAAAAGATCGAGATATCATTCGAGTATTCAGACGTTCTGTTTTCAAATTATATCAATCGAAATAGAGACTGATTTCACTCTCTAAAATCGTCTTGTCCTTTGTTTAAAACTTTGGAAATGAGAGAGATCGAAGTTGAAAAGTGTGGAGGGGACTGTTATCGAGATGGAGCGGAAGTAATATTTTACGGAAAACACTAAAACATAAACTACGCAATGGAGCTGGTATAAAGCACCAAGTTCATGATGTGAACAAATAATTTGCTATACAAGTTATACACGGAAGGTCTTTTCTGCATATCCCCCATAATAAAAGCACTGACCAAGAAGATGGTTGCCATGTACAACCGCTCTTACTGTATCAATGAGGGTGCTTGAGGCAAAGTTACACAGAAAGATGTATAATCACTGAGACGAAAAGAATGTAACTACTGGGGACGAGGTTATCAACCTAACAAATCAGCCTTGTCCCACATATTTCATTTCATATTCGTTTCCAGTAATACTCTCTGGGTGTGAAACTGTCTCCAATATCACGATTATGAGAAATTGAGTTATGTCGTGCAATTAGTCGTGGCAATCCCATCGTATCTTTCTTAAACGTCGCTTTTAAGAGCCAATTTTTTTTCGGAGAGCTGAGGGAAAAGAGCAGGAACCGCCCCAAAAAGAACTGGGCTGTCCCAGTGATGTCCCATGAATGTCAAATTGAGCGAAGTCTTTCTTGTATAAGCACTAGGGAAGTAATCGAACGCGCTGCACATTAGTGAGGGTTAAAGATGTGAGGGTGCACTACTCAGCATTACCCAGAGAAGGAGATTGACCGCAAATACTCACGTGTACTTCCTTCTGCCCGTTAATGGTCACCGTGTTGTTGTTGACCATGTCCACAATAGCTACACCCAGGTTGCAGCGTATACCGAACGATATGCAGAACCCTACACAGCTCATGACAGCAACGACGTAGCGCTTGGCCATAGGGCAGCACTTACTGCAGCACCGCTTGCCACCTGAAGTGACGCCAGCACTGTGGTTGGTAGCCATCTCCCCTTCCTCTATATCAGAGGAATCCTGGGGTACCAGCGATGCCTTGTCTTCGCGCGGTGCCTTCATTCTGTTCAAAAGATTAGATGATGGAACAATACAAAATAAATTAGCCTACAAGAGAACTTGTGGAGAGATTTTTCCGAAAGTGTTTGGCAAGGAAGAAATTCCATCAATTTCTTCTTCATTCAGAAATAGACAACCTGATTTCAGCACTCAGCCTAGGTTTGCTCAGGGAAGTTGTCACGTGCTGTACCAATAAATTGTACCGTCCCTTCTTAGGTCACTAATAACGTTTCGGCCCAACTATAAGCACTTGACGTGTGAGAGAAACAATGGAACTTATAAAATACAGCAGATCGGACGGTAAAATTGTCAATTCACACTGGGATCACAACCATTCATTCCATTCAACCCTTCATTATGCTTTGTTGCATTTTAGGCATTTAGCATTGTTGTTCAATGCTATTAACTGTGTTGGCAATCTCATACAAAAAAGAGCAATGAAAAGATCAAGTGCCACGGGACACTGTTTTTCAAGCAATTAAAAGACTATTCACATACTTTCACTATAATTCTTTATGAAGGGGATGGTGGACAAGTTAATCCAGGTTGCCTCCTTTCTTTGAAATCTCAACACTTTTGGAATTCTTTTTTGCTGCAAAACACAAAAATCATTAAGTTGCAACGCAGCCTAAGCATATTAATCTCTGAGGGACTTATTTTGGATAGAGTAATCTCAAGGCAATCTTCTGTCTTTGCAATTCCATACACCTGACATTTTAATCAAAATCACAGCATAGTGTGAAGGAGATAATAATGATGAAACAACTTAAGAATCGACAGAGAGATATTTTTGAAAGCATCCCGTCGACATTAATTTCCTCTCACGGAGCGCCTTGATCTCGTTATCTTTCTTAATCTTTGGCATGCGTGACGCTTTTTCTCATCTTTTTTTCACGATTTCACAAGTTCGTGCCGGGAACAGGTTTTTTATCGGAAAATTGACGCGACAGGCTTCATTTCTTGACTAGTCGAGCGATTCGACGCTAAGTGACCGTACGATGACAGGCTGCACGTGCCACAGACAGAAGTCATTCTAGCCAGAGGCAGACATTTCTTCATCAACGCGAGCATCAGATATCACAGATGTCTGCCAGAGAGATTTTTTCATTTATTTATTTGAACCTTTCAACTTTCCGCGGTTAGAGAGCACTCTCAATTGGCGCCGAAAAGTTTCCTATTGAAACGTTTAAACACCTGAGACACCCACGGGCGTCGCTAGAGGGGGTGTCGGGTGTGTCACACTTTCTTGGGTTAGTTTTGTCGGCAAAATCATGGTCTGTCGGCAAAATGGAAAATACAAAACATCAGGAAGGTGTGGGGCTATGGAATCAGACGGCAGTACCCTCGTTTTGCGTGACTGACCGTCGGCAAATGTCATGAGACACCCCCCCATTCAAAATGGTCTACCGACCCCCTTGGAGACACCCCATGGGGCTAACGCAGAATCTATCCAAAGACACATGAAATCTGGACAACCCAGAAACACATTTCCTTATTGGGAACTTTGTTTCGCAGGACAAAGTTTTCTCTTCTCACAAACCAACTAAAGTATTGCTATAGGCTACTTGTATTTACTTCAGCGTACACGACGTACATACGAAATTTCGCCTGCTGCGCGTTTCAGTTTTTGCTCATAAGATTATGATTTTCTATTGTCCAATGTTTTGTTTTGTTTCGGGTTCTCTCCTCATATCTCAGGAAGCAAAGCCACACGGGAGATTACTTTGCACCTGACGATTTAAGTTCATCACCTTTTGTTGGTGGACTGCATTTTACTCCAAATTGACTGGTTTACACCAAACGATGTTTGGTCTGACGTACATATTTACCTTGTTAATGTGATTAAGGCATATTTAATCTTTGTTTAAGCGTATTTTAATTTCAATCTAACCCGTACAGTTGTTTTATTCAATCAAATAATCAGCACAAACAGACGAGTCCATAAAGCTATGTATCTAAACATAATAGGTTAGTAGTTTCTAGTTTATGAAAGTGAACAAATAAAGGTGTGTTAGAAACACCAACCTCTGGAAAGCGATACATTGCGAAAATGTAAGTGGCGATATACAAATTGCCCGTGTTGCTTAGTTTCTTGAGATATCAGGAGGAAGTGGTATCCCCCCCCCAAAAAAAAGGCAGTGACCGCGTGTCTCAGCTGCCTTTCTATTGCTCGAGGAAAAGGCGCGTGACTCTGCGTTAAATAGCAAGCTGATATTCTACAAATATATCGCTGCTATCTGGTAATTGGGCATGACACTGTGGTGATAGGCCTATCTAAATTATACTAACATTTACCTATGCCACTGCACTACTGTAAGCGCACACAGCTCCGTACAAAGTCCTCATATAGGAGGTAAACATGACTTGTTTCCCTAGTATAGTTGCGTGATTTGCATGCCTTAGGTAAATGATTATTTTATTATTAGGATAATTATCTTTAAGAGGCAACGGGGAAGAGATATGAAATATTCTTATGCTGTGTTAACGTCAGTGATGGGCTATTTGGACTTATTTTTTCCTTGTCTTCGTTATTTCTTGATAAAACATTTTGCCCTGTTTACATATTTTCATGCAGTTTTAAATATCTCTTGTTCGCGTAATTCTTTGGTATCTCATCGCATTAATAAATTACGGCCAAGCATACCATCCTAGAAAGGCCAGCGGTGTAAAATCTTTGCCCAACATTGTGTATTTTACAATGCATGCCTCGGGGTGGGGAGATTCAACCGACATGATAGTAGGGATGAGTGTTGAATAATACACAAAGTGGCCCGGGGACATGCATAATACAGTGTCAGGTAAGCTTTCGCACGGTCCTCGATGATCGATGAAGAAGATTGTGCACGGAGGGGCATGGATAAATTCGGCAGCATGGCCGTGTGCAGGAATCTGGGGAGTGCATTATTTAAAAGGTGGGCATGCCATTTTGAATCATTCTGTTGTCATCGTAAGCGATAATGTATGGCTACGGAATGACACAAGTTGTAGTTTATGGTCAGATATATTCATCTTCACGACGGTGCACACGGACGTGGGCGTTAAATAATTGTAAATTCTAGGCGGTGCGACGCCGTGAATAAATCTTGATCAAGTGTGGAATAGCTGAATATTTAAAGTTTTTGGGTGGTTGCCATCGACTGTTACGATCTCTCAATAGATCTCAAAGTAAGGTCGCTTGTTTCATGCCAAAGAACAACCTGTTAAAATTACAGACTGAAACATGAGTTCATACGTGACTTGGCCCTCGCTACAGTCAAACTCGCTACCAGAAGCCAAAAATCTAGAATACCTCAAAGCTTTTACCCGCCACTGACCCAGAAGGCCTAATCATTTTAGCGAGCGGTGAAATCGGTTCTGAATTACGTTAAATCCCGCTCAGCCGGCACAATTTGGCGGGAAGGCCAGTACGGGCTGCAACGAGCAAGGCGCAATTTCTGCAAAGAAACGGACTCACCGTACTTCGTGTATAGGAAAACGAAAATAAACAGCAAATAGCCGTAATGAACACAGCATTCATTGATAACACGACCACCAGACTGCTTTCTTTGTAGCGGACACAGGATGCCAACTCCATCTTTCGTTTGGCGAATGTTTCTGTCCCTATTCACTTCAAAGAAGTCATGTCATTCCAGTATTAAGCCATACCCATTGCGCTGTGACTGATTGCCACCTGCTGTCATGACATACGGAAATGTCTGTATAATATTCAAATCAGGTGGTCGGTCAGAATTACAAGCTATTTCAAGACTGACACTGCTGTCTGGGGTATAAACTTACCTCTCCATTAGTGCAAAATTTTAAAAAGGGGTTGATAGCGTGTATTCATTAATACGGCCGTTTCACAATAGTGCACCGCTAAGAGTTTGCAACGCGTTGGCCAATCACGATGCGCAAAATTTGTCGACCCAATGTGCGTTTGGAAAGGATCGACAAATTTCGCGCGGATTCATTTGTTTATTATAATTTCATTTTCTATTGCATAAATACTAGCGCTTTGATTTCTTTGACACTTTCGCTTTATCAATATCGGGAATTGTTATTTCAACATTTAAAATGTCCATCCTGTATAAATAAAAAAGACATCCACAAACACGGCTAAACCTTGAAGCACATTGCAGGGTCTTTTTCACATAACAGAACAATGTCACATCCGTACAGGTCAATTCATACTTCGAACGTTTGTCAATGTGAAGTGAATTTTACATCATTGAACATTTGCAGCAAAATCCAAAGAGTTGAAATGTGTTCAGCTTTTGCAATTCCGGTCTGCTAATAGTTGATATGACGTCACAAAATCGCATTCGTGTTCGCTTTTGCGCAGAGTTTGAATCAACCTTAAGACATATATTTATATTTAGAGTCAGGGAGATTTTGGTTTTTGCTCTTCACCAACGCAGATTTATACCGCCATTTATACTGTGTTGTCAATGGGCTTGGGAAACAATTCATAACCTTATGGGGGGCAATCACGTCGTTAAGGGCTTACCTCTAAAGAGTTCAAAGCATTGCTTTAATTAAGCAAAGAGTTCATACACTCGTCACTCTGGGCAAGCCATGGGAATTATCAAAACGGTGTCATCCTATTACGTTGACCTCGAGTACGAGTCTTTAGATTCAGGTGATTGCGATCCTTGAAATGTGGCGGGGAAACGACGGAAAGAGCTAGTATCGAACCCGCTTAAGCTTGCTTCGTGAGCACCGACATGCGCGTGCAAGGGCTGGTTTAATTATGCTCTAGTATGATGCATCCTGCTTTCCTCATATCAAAAAATCATTATGACGTCACTCTTTGTGTACATGTGTGCTTTCTTATGACGGCTCAATAGATCGCATCGCACCTCACAACCGCACAAAGGTGCCTTATGTAAACTCTGTGTGACGTCATTATGTTTCAAGTCCACTCGGAGTGCCTTTCCACTTCCCACTACATTGTCTTTTACTTTAAGTGAACCATAGACATTTTACTTCCAACCATCTTAATGCGAGGACCTTAGTTCAAACTCA